CCGGCCCCGGCGGGAAGGGCGGTGCGTTGGGGCCGGGGATGGTGCTTCAGGACCGGCACAGGCACCGGGAGCGGCACCGGGGCCTTTCCTGCCTAGGCGCGGAGGGAGGACGCTCCTCCCCTCACACGGTTCCTCACCGCCCCCTTCCCCCGCCGGCCTGGGACGAGCCTTGCCTCCACCCCAGCTCCGCAAACAGTTGTTGTGCCCCTTCTTCCTTTCCTGGCCCCGTTTCAGGCAGTTGCCGCTTTCTGCCCTTGAGCAAGGTAAAAGCGGGAACTGCGTCTGTAGTTTAATAAAAGCCTCATCTTAAAATAAAATCCCCCGACCCCCTGCCGTTGTGTATCCTGCCTTCCAGCTGGGGTCAGTGCAGGATACAAGCCCTTCAGAAATTCCCAATTTTTTTTTCCAGGATAGAAGTCATAAGCTGTGAAAAGGAGGGTGTCTTGCTGTTTCTTTCTTTAGTCTTACCTGCTGCCTTGTCCCTCAACAAGCACACGTTTTCAGCGGAATAAAAGGAGTAATGGGAAGTTTAAATAGGAATAGAGAAAAAAATTCCTACCCTTCAACTGTAATGTATTAAATTCCAGATGAAAAATAACCTTACAATTTATGTTAGCATTAAACAGTGACTGGTTTCATCTCAGACTTACGTGTCCATTTCTACCTTCCCAGACAGGTAAAGTGAAGAGTATTTTGACCATTACTACATTCCACACAGGAGGAAACCATTTTTCAGAGAAAAACTTTTTCCAGATGTAAAATAACATTACAATTTATGTTAGCATTAAACAGGGACTGGTTTCATCTCAGAGTTATGTTCCATTTCTACCTTCCCAGACAGGTGAAGAGTATTTTGACCATTACTACATTCCACACAGGAGGAAACCATTTTTCAGAGAAAAACTTTCTCTGACCAGAAAGATTTGAGCAATTTGAGTGACTGCTCATAATCTGAACGCTTCCAGATAAACAATATTACTAGGAAATAATTATAAAATCTTTCAAGAACAACCTCCTGTCCTTGCTCTATAAAAGATCTCTTGCTAAAAGAATGCAGCAGCTCTTCTCTGTCTCATGGACAGAGCATATTTTTTGCTTCTGCTTTACTGTACACTCTCTAGAAGTCCAAGATCTTTGGTAGTCCAGTTCAACACAAAATAATCTTTTTCAGTTTTCTGAAACTTCACTGTTTTTACCTGTAGTCTCTGCTGTGATGTCCACACACTCCACCATTTTCTCCTCCTTCATCACCTCTAGTTCCATATGTGCTAGATCTTGTGTTCAACAAGACTGGTAAACCAAGTATGTCCTGAAAGCTGGGGAAAAGTCACTGAATTTTGTTAAAAATGGGGGCAGTGGTGGACAAATTTTCATGGGAATTGCTAAAAGAGAATTCAATAGCAGTGTATCAAGTAGACTTAGAAGAAAGATGCCCCATATTTTTGTTAAATGTAGAAGCACATGAATGATGTAGTGCTTTTAGAGGTGTGGATTTAACAGAGCATTGCTCCCATCAGGAATGGTGTTACAAAAGTGCCTGAAAATAATCCCACAGCCTGTTTTGGGGAGTGTTGTACAAGCACTCAGGCTGGAGTCCCTATCTGGAGGAGATTATTGTAATGACAGCATGATTCAAGCACTGGGTGTAAAGTGGGGCACAGTGAGGGTAGGAAAGTGGGGGTGGAGGAACTGGTTAGGATGTACAGCCACCATAAATAAACATAAAACAAAGGAGTGAGAGCAAGAAGAGGGATATTTAACAATGATTAAGCAGAACTGATTCATACAGAATGGCAATTAGTCACCCCAGGCCAGTGTTGCATCTTATTTTGATGGTGCTCAATAATAACAAATGAATAAACAGTCTTCCCTAGCACATTTGTGGGCATGGGCACAACCTTCACCTTCCTCCCTCAGGTACGTGTCCAAAAACTATTTTCCCCTCTGAAACATCAGGATTTGTGAAGTGGCAAGCTGCCTTTTTACCTCTTTATGTAGTCCTAAAATTCTCATCAACCCCTGGCCATCTCAGGGGAGACTGAAGGGGGCACAAAAGACTGGATATTTGTCTGGAGTCCTGACCAGATGCCACCTGATGCTTTTTCTGTAGAGTTCTCCTGGCATTTCTCATGAACATACTTTTGCCACACGTTGTCACTGACATCTCTAATATGTGAGGTGCCCCAAATCCCAAATTCACCTTTCAACCAGTTTCCCAGCTCCTGGAAAGCAAAGGAAACACTGAGTGGCACCTAGTGAGCCAAGCATGAGACTTCATGCACAGCCACAGATAGACTAGTGTCACCTGCAGATGGCCTGAGGACTTTGAGAAGCTGGAACAAGCATTAGAGGGCAGCAACTCCATAACAAAGCTGTTTTGAGGCTAAATGCAGTTAACTTTGAACCTTTGGCCCAAAAGGCGACCTTTGGCCCAAAATGCCAGATTGGGGAGTGAAGAAATTATCAGCCAGAGGGGAATACCCTGAACTCTGGCACCACATTTCTCCCTCAGCTGAGAAGAGCTTGTGTTTGCTAACCTGTTCTTTAGTTTGAGAAAACTGCAGGAATTCTTCCTCTCCTTGTGTGTTTTGCAAATCATTTCAACAGAGAGGATTTTATTGCACAGCATGCAGAAGGTTGTGCAAGACAGTTACAACTCCAGATTTCCCAAAGCCTTAGAAGATTCAAGGTGAGCTGGCTGCTCCATAAAATTGATAGAAGTTCTTTGTTTTCCAGCCCTAGAACCACAGAATCATTAAAGTTGGAAAAGACCTCAAAGATCAAGTCCAACCATCAACACTCACCCACGGGCTTACTAATCATCACTTACCTTTGGTTTGGCAGATCCAAGATTCCTTGCTGTGAACATTTGCCTCCTCATTTGAATTTAGAAATGCTTTGTGTAGCTGGTCTGGCTAAAATAGAGTTAAATTTCTGTGCAGGAGCCTGTACAGTGCCCTGCTTTGGCTTTGTGGCTACAGCAGTGTTGGTAACACTGATTAACCAGTCCTTTTTGGTGTCCAACATGGGTCAAGAGGACTTAAAGATAAGAATAACTAATCAGAGCATGCTAGGTGGGATCTATAAATGTATTGCATCTGCTCCTACAATCAAATTTGCCTTTAATCTAACTTTACATATATGTAACTTTATGTTTGTATGTGAAGAAATTTATTCCCAAAGAGGAACTGATGTTAAGGCAAATACACAAAATAAAATGCTGATGGTTTTCATGCTATTGTCTTTATTTTCCAGTGAAAAACAACAAGTTTGTGACACAGTAAAAAAAAAAAGAAAATATTTGTTTAGTAGTTCTACTTTTTCACTCCCTTAATTTTGAAAGGCATGATCTGTAAGATACAAGAGTTAAAGTCCTGAAATAACTTGGGTAACATCATAGGAGGTTCAAAGCCAAGCTGCTTGGAAAAATCCACCCTGCTGAATGGCATCTGGTGTGATAAGTGGGATTTCTGCAATTAAACTTTTCTTTTCACTAGATGTAGTCATCCTGGGAAAATGCTCTATGCACAAGAGTAGTTCCATTAGTGAAAACACTTGGAGCTAAAGAAGATGAAGATGTTTCTGTTACCCAGTCTCACCTAACCCTCCCCTGCCACCACCAGGCTGTATTCTCCCTGAACAGCTACAGTTCTCAATGCCCTCCTATTCCAGGGAGCTCCCCATGGTCTGAAAGTTTGGACAGGATTGATCATCAGGAGATCTGGATTCTCACTGTGGTTCTGCTGTTGCCATTCCACGACCTACCATAACTCAGGTTAAATCACCTCAGTGCTGGGATGTGTTCTACCTTTGTCACAGCTTAGGTGAAAGACATCTGGAGGTGAGGCCACCCCTACAATCATTTCTTATCACAGCATTGCTGGAATGCAGCACCACAGCTCCATATTTGCATTGGTTTTCCCTCTCAGCCTTAGGGATAGAGAACATCCAACCTGCTGTAGCTTTCTACTCCTCCTCTGTGCTGCAGCAGCATTACAGAATGGAGAGAATCAGGCTCAGGATTAAAGGCAGAGTCTCAACCCCTAGGGATTTAGAACTTAAAACTAAGTAAAAAGCCAGAGGACTGGTTAGAATTAAGAATTGATTTTACAAATCAGAAGGGACTGCTATTTCTGCCCCCAGAGAAAAGAAGCTGTTTTCTAAAGTGTATATTTGTAGGAATGAAACATGTGACAGAGAAAGCTCTCTCAGTTCTTGCTGGCAAAACATTAAGGTCCTTTGAGGAAGCACCCATCCAAATGACTAACTATAATTGTTTCAAGGGCTTTAAAAAAAAATAATCGTTGTTCTGGATGACAACTGCTGAAAATTTAAGAGCTCCCAGACCTGTCAGTCCTTCTCACAGCCAGACCCCCCCCAAAATCACAGCCATAGAGTTCTACCCTAAGGGCAATACCATGAGACCACGTCCTCGGGACGACGCGGATGAACCTGGACAGGATGGGGGGGTTGAAGAAATGCTTCACGTGCCCACTGCTGTCCTCATTACCTGAGAAAACCTGCAAATGCACAAACACAATGAGTTAAAAGGCAGCACTTTATAAAAAAAAATGGTTTTTTCTTCTTAAAATGTTTCCAAGCTGTTGCATTAGCTGTCCAGGGCAGATGGACTGGCTCAGTTCTGGTTCCACATAAGACCACATCCAGTTTCTCCCTAAAATGCTGGTTCAGAGGGAGTTCAGGCCAGCAGTATCAGAGTGTGAATGAATTAAACAGCCTCTGCTTCCATCCACAGCACAAAATTCTAATTTATATGGACTAAAAAACCCAAGCTTCCCTTATTCTACCTCTGCTAAAAGGCCTTGTGGGTTAGGTTGGTGTAAGGTGATACACATGACAGCATAAAGTGTCTGCTCTTTGGGGATCTGGAGCTCTCTGTTACAGCAAAACTTCTCACTATCACATTAATTTCATTTACAAAATCAAGGCAGAAAAATAAAAAGCTGAAAAGAGCCCCTGGGGCATCTATTCTTCATTCAAATTAAATGTCTTTGTGCATTCAGATTAAAGGTTCTCCTTTACAACTAGTGTCAGCTCCTTTTAGCACAACGTTGACTGCATTATCTACAAATTTTGCATTCTTTCCTTTTATCACTGTTAATGGCTATGCCCAAAACCAGATGGATGTTTCTGGAGTAACCCCATCTCTTCAGTATTTCAAGTCCTGTAAGAATCTCTCTTTGGCTGGGCACTCTGCCTTGGGCTTTGACTACACTCAGCATCTAAAACCAAGCAAGAACACAACTGCCTGAGCTGAGGACAATACCTTTGCCTCTGAGCTTGAACCATCTGTGTAGGATTTCCACTCTGAGCCCTGCTCACTGTAGAGGATAATGTAGGTCTTCACAAAGTTCTCAGCAGTTAAGGACTTGGCACCCTGGGTGGTTATAGCAGTTATCTTCTTCATTGTGAGGAGATCAATTTGCAGCCACTGTTGGTTGTTGTTCAACTACAATTGATAAAAAGGGTTGTCTGTTAGTAAAGAGGTCTAGGACTTTTCTTGCTTAAGTGAAAAATCCTCCTTGAAGACAGTTAAAACTCCATCAAAACACATCAAAAATGTATCAAAGAAGAATGAATTTGAGGCAAAAGTCAAAGGCATTCTTGGTGGCCAGTTCACTTCCTCACTGCAAATGGTGTATTTGCTGTCTTAAGATTCCTGCCTTAATTTCCAAAACATACTGAAAAATAAGAATTATCTCCAGGATCACAGTAAAAGACATAATACTAATACCAAATGCTTGTACAAAACATTAGCCCATCTCAAGGTACTTTGTAAAGAAATCCAGCTGCATTTTGAAGACACAGAAGCTCACAGGCCTTGCAGAAACTCATCCACCCCCAGATCCATTGAGCTGCACTGCCTATGAAAAGGGGTTTTTAATCCCTTGGAGCCAAATATTCAACTTGGATTCACCTCCTGAAATTAAAAGGGCTGTTTCTGCAGGGAAGTGCTACAGGCTTGGGCCTAAAGGACACCATGGTTTGATTATTCTAATGCACTTTTTACTTTAAATGGCCTCTTCTTCCCTTAAACCTAAAATTTTCTTCCTGCAAATCATGCTTTTTAGTGGCTGTTCTAATCCTTTCATTTGATTATTGAAAAGTAAATAAGCCAACATCTTCAAAGTGTTTAATCCTTCTCAAAATTTTAAGTCTACTTCATTTTTTGTTATGTTGCAGACAGGTTGTTGTCCAAAAAAAATATAGTTGCCTTTTGTAGCCTGTTTCTTACTTGGCTGAGTCCATCAAATGTTTCAGTTAAGAGCTTTCAGGAAAACTGGCCTTGGGCAGTGCTAGATTAATGGCTGGACTCAATCTTCAAGGTCTGTTCTAACCTAAATGATTTTATGTTTCCAAGATCCACCTCTCAAAATACAATTTCACTGATGTTGCCAAAGCTCAGTAAGTTTTCCACTGGAAGAGCTGAACGGGCTTCTTCACCCAGGATGGCTGAAGAGCTGTGAAGTGCCCCCTGTCAGCTGGGCACTGGAGAGAGTGCAGGAAGCTCAGGAGCAGCAAGGCACCATGAATTTCTCAGCTGTAGGTGCCCTTGTTGTCCCCCCTGTCTCTCAGCAGTCACCTTGGCTCTCCAGGCGTTCACCTTCCCGTCGCGATTGAGGCGGGCGAGCGAGGGCTCCCACGTGCTGAACCAGGAGCTCTTCACAGAGGAGGCTGTCAGCTGGGAGTTCTTGATCTCTCCATTCTCCATTCCAAGTGGCAAAGAGCAACCTGTTCAGAGAAGCACCGTGTTATCTCCAGTTCCTCCAACTAGCCCCAGGCTAAGCGAGGAGTCTGGAATGGAGAAGAGGCAAAGTTTTAGCTTTATTTCACATAAAACATTTCCCAGGAGGGGAGCACCAGCACATGACCTGTTCTTACCATCTAGCTCACAGCCCAGCAGCTCCATGCGAAGGGTAGGCCTGCTGTAGGCCTCAGTTGGGTAGACTCTGAGGTACCTAGCAATAATAGGTGGGTCAAAGATGTTTTCTTTTATCCCATAGGCGTCGGAATTACCTTCAAAAATCTGTTAAAAACAAGAAAAAAGATCCACATCTCATTAATTTAATGCAACCCCAAGGCTGGTTGCTGAAAACTTGCTCTGGTACAAGAGTAGTCTTTTTTTATGCTGTTAGACACATCCATAGTGACAGAACATCTTGTGCTGCAGGGCAACTTGAAATATTTCATGGTCCTTAGCATATTTGGAAACACCTGAAGGCCTCAGTTCAACCCATTTCCATGCACTATCTATGACTGTAAGAAGGCATTACTAGAAGCAAAGGGAGAAGGGAGAGACAACAGAGAACCAGAAGGCTCTAATTTTTTCCACTATCTCTTCATGTCATATAAAACTGTGACCTCACTGCATCACCCAGTGATGCTGCCTGGGTTGTTGCAGCCCCTGAGGCACACACACACACACACCTTTTGTGCTGCAAAGCTGTCTCCTCTGAAGGTGCTCCACTTTCTTTTGTCCTTGCTGTAAACAATAAAGAACTTCTGGACATACAAGGACTTCAAAAACTGCTTGGCTCCCTGTGTTTGTATCCCAGTTAACAGCACTTGTCTTTGAAAGTCCACCTAGAAACAGCAAAACCATGTTTATAAAGCAAATAAGGCACAGCAAAATCCATTGAATTCTACAGAGTAGCTTTGAACCCTGCATTTCAACACCCACACAACACTAGTGCTCTCAGGATAAATAACAACCAGATGCCAGGGTTCAAATTAAGTTTCCAGTTCCACATCAGATCTCCCAATCTTCTCACTCCACTCTCCCTAAACTTGCTAGCATGTCAAAAGTTAGCAGGCCAAATACAACAGCCCTTGGTTGAACTTACACTGCAACACTAGTTGCAAGCTCTCTTTTCTCACACTTGCCAATTTTAATGAGATTTGCCAGAAACCAACTTCCTCCCTAAATCTGGGATCAAATTTGTTATCTGGTGCAAAAGGGATTGGGCTGGAAGAAAAGGATGGAAGAAGTAAGGTGATTGAATGACAGTTCTTGGAGCCATAATTCTCAGCTTAATTTCCCTGTGAAGCCACACTGTGCTGTGTCAAGTTGGACATAAAAGCATCTAAATCAACCAACCATGTTGTCTGATCTTCTAAAACAAGCTGTAGGAAAAATAACCATCCAAGGATGGTCAATCACATGTTGTGCTCTCCATACCTGGATCCAAGGGAGTTCTTCTTTTTTCATTGTAGTGCTCCAAGCATTGTATGTTCCAGAATTGTTTAATCTGGCTAATTTAGGTTCCCAATAGTCTAGACAGAAAATAGGAATAAAAGCAGGAATTTAAAGAGAGGTGTTGGGAAAGAAAAGAGGCTGTGATTAGATATTGATGGTGAGTGATTTAGTTGTTTTCTGATAGCCAAAACACAACCAAGAGACTCCAAAACCATAATTCTAGGATAATTTGGAAATGGTCAGCAACTGAAAGTTGAGAACTGAAGGATGTGTGTCCCCTATACACAGAATTTTACATCAATCAATTTCTCTATCAAATGGCCCCACTTTTATACCAGGAATACACCTGTAAATTACAGACTCTGTCAATGCCCTGGATGCCAGGTTCCCAAATCTTTCCTAAGAGATTTACTTTGCCCTTTCACATCTCATACCACGTGCAAATCTCAGAAGCTTTTTGAACACTTGGTATTCATTTTCAAGCAGAGAACCCAAAGGACAAAAAAGATAAGGCTAAATTTGTTCCAGGCCATCCAGCAAGCCACAGACAGAGGAAATCCTGACTCTCAAGCTTGTAATCCTGACAGTAGACCTGTGACAGTGTTAAAATACAATGATGAAGGCTACCTAAATAGGGTTCACAGTCTCTGCTTCCAGCACAGGAGAGCTTTTTAACCTGATAGTTGATCCACTGCTGAACTGATATTCAAGGTGGATCATGAGATGCCCAAAGAATAACTGCAGTACTTTGCTGAGGCTGTTCAGGAGCATGCCTGGACCTTTCCAAGCATGAACTCACCTATATGGTGTGAGGCATCAATTTGGGAATCAAGGATAACTCCACTTGCTAGACCCATTGGACTCCTGCACCCTAAAGAGAATACAGTAAGTTTGTTGTTAAAAGAAAGGCTATTCCCATATATATTCTGATGGAACCTTCCACAATATCATCACTCAGAACAAGTCTCAGCAATACTGTAACATCACCATTCTCTTCCTAGAGAAGGCCAAGTTAATCTCTGCAGTTTCTCTCAGTGGATTAATCCACTGGTCACTGAGGAAATCTCATTCAAAGCTGACATGCTAAAGGAAAAAAGGTAATATGCCAAGTAATTCAAAGCTAGTATGCTAGAGGCTAAATGTTTTTCTTCTAGATCAAATATACAGTAACCACTTCACCCCCTCCTTGAATGCACAGAGAATTTGCTTTAGGTTTTTGCTCCCAAATTTACTTCTAGTGATCCTGAAAGGGTAGAGATAACTTTATAGCTTGACTCCCCCAGCCAAAAAACACCTTAGCTCAGTACCTTTCTCTATAACCAAATAGGATGCTGCTTGCTGATATTCCCCCACTTCAGTGTCTAAAAGCCACCAGCCAGGTCTCTGGGGTTTCATTTCAATTGTTCTAAATGAGCCTGGAAAAAAAAAATGAAAGAGAAATGTCAGAAACATGATCATTATAAGATTGATGTTAACAAGGCTGGATGATAAACCAATCATCCTATGACTTCCTCTAGAAAAAAGAAATCTGCTACACATTGCATATGCTATCCCTATCCCAATCTTTTTTATTCTTTAGGAAGCAAGTTCTAGCTGGAGACTGAGGTTGGAATGAAGTGACCAGATCAAAACCTTTGCTGCTGGTGCAAAGTACAAAACTGTGGATGCCTGTATGTAACAACAGACACTGCACATTAAATACAGTGCCAAGCCACACAAAGAGTGTTTTTAAGTTTACTACACAATGTAGGGATGTTAATTCTGTGGTGCTGATTATAGTTCTTCCTCCTGCTGCCCCAGTGTGTTGTTCAAGCAATGTAAAGGAGGGATGTAATGAAGCCAGATGTAGAAGTAGGAGATTCAGATGTGTGAGCCCTCCCCTTATGTTCTGCATGCCCCAAGAGCACCAAGAATTGAGCAGGGAGTAGACATGGTTAAGGGTGTTTGCTGCATTTTCTAGAAAGTGTAGTACCTGCTTCATTGCTTGTCTTATATTCCTAGTTAGCAGAGCCAGGAAAATTCTGGTTCCCATTTAAACAAAAGCATATGTAGATGTCATAGTGAAAAGCATCACCTTAAAAAGCTTAAATAGTGAATGAATCACCTAATGTTCACTAAAACAAACTCCTATTATTCTGAGCCAAACCCATTATTTTGATCTTGTTGCTTGGGGTTTTTTTTTTTGTTGGGTTTTGTTTGTTTGTGGGGTGTTGGGTGGTTTGTTTTTTAAACACTTGTAGCTGGCAACACAGGCTTTGTAAGGGCTGTTACTGCACTGTCCTCCTGGCTTCCTTTTTTGAATACTGATGTTTATTATGTATTATTTCCTCCATTCCCATGGTGTTAAATGAGGTGCAAAGTGATTTTCCTTCTCACAGTGATGGGCAAATGAACTGTTAGTGCTCTCAAACTCCTTTCTTACTGTGCCCCAAGCCAACTTCTGTTCACCTTTACATTGGGATGATGGCAACAGACTGCAAAGGTCACTCCTTAGGATTTAGATCTCTTCTGATGCTTACCTGGGAGGAGTGTGTATGTACCAAGCTGATGCTTTGGTTCTCCTTGTTCTGTGAAGGTCTGTCCATGAAAATGAACCACATGAATGTCTTTTGGCCCACCCATGTTCAGCAAATGCCATCGGACCAGTTCACCTTCATACATCCTCAAGCCTTGCAAATTGTAGGTAATCCCATTAATGGCTGAAAAAGAATATATTGTAAGGAAAACTGCTCCCAAAATGGGTCTCTTAAAGTGCTAGAATGTAGTGCAAGATTTCATAAAGTGTTTGGGAAAACCACCACTTTTTCCAGCTTAAAGTGCTACACATTTTATAGTCTATGTACATCAATTCAGAAAAAAACAGGGACCTCACCTGGGGATCTGAGCACAGTTTGCTGGCAACACATGGCAGCCAGAGGAACAAGGAGGTGTAAGAGAATAAATGTCAGATGGAAACAGCAGGCCCAAAAGCAAGGACAGCTGTGAGCTGAGATACCTCCCCCAACACCCCTCCCTCTGCCCCAATAAACTCAATACTTGACAAAATGAAATACCATAGAATTTGTGGCACTGCTGCATATCCTGGCTCTTGGCAGCACAAGGCCTTCTAGGTTTGTCAAAGTACCAGCTTTTCTCTTCATCAAAGACCATAAAAAGCAGGAAGAAGTCTCGAGTCGGTGTCCTGCTGTTGGAGTTACTGAAGGTTCCTTTTTGACAGATCAGTATTGGCCCAATCAATCCAGAATTAATATCTTTCTCCTATAAGGTAATCAACATATTAGATGGAATAAATGTGGTTTTAAAAAAAAAACAACTTAAAACCCCACAGTACTCTGTAGAACTGCATCAGGCCCTAAAAATTGAAAGCAGAGACCAGAATTGCTGTTGCACTGTATCTTTATTTTCCCATGTTCAGTCTACCACAGAGTTCCCCAATTTGAATTCTTCAAGAGCTTATAACTGTGCAAGAGATTAAATGTCAGAGGCAAACATCAGGCCCCCAAAAAAAAAGGACAGCTCTCCAGTACATGTTCTGCAGCTCACATTTCTACAGCCATACCAGTAACATCATTGGGAGATAGTTAAAACCCAACTGGACATGGTCCTGGACAACCTCCTCTAGCTGAGCCTGCTTGAGTTTTGGGAGGTGGAAGAGATGATCTCTAGTGATCCCTTCCAACATAAATGTTTCTGTGAATCTGATCAACCCCAGCAACATCACTACTTTGTATTTTGATTTGATGCCTTACCAGATTTAAGTCAGAGTAGTAGATCCAGGACCGACAGACTGCTCCTGACTGCACAGGTCCTGATCTCCTGTTTGCATACCACACGTAGATATAGCTGCTGTTGGGCTGAACTGCATCATCTTCCTTAAACCAAGCAGTAGATTCATCATCATAAATGCTTCCCTCAGAGGACTTTTCATAGAAGAGCCCATGAGCATGGAGGGAATATGGTCTGGATGCCAGATTCTTAAAATAAACCTAAAATGAAGAAATAGATTCTATTAAGCAAATTCAAGCCTTAACCAAAGTCCCCACACAATACATCACCCATGACCTCAAACCAGGGTCAAGACTTGTATAATCTAAGTCTATCCCTCTGTGTTGGAAAACTGGATGAAGAAGGATGAAAGGAAACTGTTCAGTAATGTGCTTCCTCCTGCAAATATACCCACCAGGGAGACAGTTCCTCTCCATCTTTGTTGTTTGTATTAGAACTAACCAACCTATTTACAAAATTTTCAGAGGGAAATACACTTTTTTTTTGACAAATATATACTCATCTCAAACACAAATCTACTAATTCCTTTTAAAGAAATTAAGAAGCTCCCTTTGCATATAAAAAGTATCCTTTCAGTGCAACCTGGGTTTAAAAAAAAATTATTTTTGAGGTTAAACTTAAATCTCATTTTATAAATTGATTGATAAATCAGTATTTAATGTTGGGAAACAAGAAAGAAAAAGAGAAATTAAGTTACCATGGATAAGAAAGAAAAAAGGTTGTGCTTCAAAGAAACACATCGTTGTGCTTGGATGTCCACACTGCAATTTCTAGCTTTGAAAACTTTCTCCCATGGTGATCTTTTAAAAGTTTTAAAAGTATTTTTCTCCCATGGTGATCTTTTAAAAGTTTTAAAAGTATTTTTAGACTCATTCTATAGGAGATCACCATAAGAATCTTCTCCTGCACACATATTCAAAACATGGACCTACTAGGATAACGTCGTCCACTTCAGCCCGGATGACTGGCCCCAGGATGCCAAGGTGTTCTTCATACTCATCTTCATCCTGAAGAGTTGTAAAGGTACTGTCTGTATAGCTCTGGAAAATCACCTTAGACGTGGTGCCATCTTTACAGGTTTTGTCATTCAGCATTGTACTGAAAGGAAATTCCCAATTACAAACCCACAGCAGTGAAAGAGAAAGAATTGCTTTGATGAAATCTGAGAACTCCTACAGCAGAAACATTTTGTTCATTTCAAGGGCCACAAAACTCATCTTTTGGAGGAAAAAGTGACTAGGAATTCTACATATTGTATGCTGACCAAATTGGTATGAATTACTGTAATTAATTTTTAGTACAGAATTCCTCCCAAGTCACATATACTCTTTGCTGTGGCATAGTGGCCAACCTCCCCTCTCAAAATTTAAGGAAATCCTCTCAACTTCAGGGTTTTTGATCCAGTCACCTTCTGATTTCTCCAACAATGATGCAATCACTCCTGCAGCTTTAGTTTTATTTTAAGGTAGTGCCCAGTCTGGTTATTCACTTTGCATCTTTCAGGTACATTTTTCAGTACTGCAGAAAGCTGGAAAATGTTATTATTCCATTTTAAAACAGAACTGCTACACCAGAACCACTTCTTGCTAGTGCTAGAAACTGTGTGATTTCATACTGCCTATATTAGATCAGTCAGTCCATTAAATTCCTGGCAAGACTGGAGGTCTGGAGGTCTCTACCCTCAACTCAAGAAGGAAGTAAATGATTTAGCCAAACCTTTTCTTATACCCCGCGTAGTTCCAGCAGACCTCTTTAGCTGCAATATAATATCTCCTTTCATTCCCTTTGCTCCTCAGGTAATGCTCAGCAATGTTTTCTGGGTTACGTTGCTCGTTGATGTTCACTTTTGGGTCTGTCAAGTATGGGTCATCAAAGTTCACATAATGGTACTCGTATTCCCCACCCGACGTTTCCTCCGTGTAATAACCTTCCATGACATACTCATAGCCTCCATTTTCTTGGGGAAGCCCAATGGTGATGGATGGTTTCAGGTGCCTGGGGGTGAGTGTGTCATTTGGTGACTCTCCATGCCTGGCTCTGCTCAGATCCACTGTCTGGTTGACCTCTTTGGGTGCCCCTGTGGTGTTAGTGCAGCACGGCAGCGTTGTGTGGTTGGTCTCACCCAGGAACAACGTCCGGCCAACCCCTGCCATAGGATTGGTCATTCTGGAAGGTTTTTTACTTCTTGGGCTCAGCAAAGGAGCCATTTTTGGATATTCCTTTTTTTTCCTTCGGATCTTGATGAGGGTTCCAGATGTACTCAAAGTATCATTCTTGTTCCCTTCCTTTGCTTTCAGAGCTGGGTGTGTGTGGCTCCCTTTCTGTTTTTCTCCCATTAGATGTGACAACTCTTGATATGTCTTCCTAGGCTTCTTATTAGTGAATGCTGTACCATTTCTGCTGTGATGATTTAACTTACCACTAACAGGTTTATCCAAATTTGTCTCTAAATCCAGACTCTCCTTTGCAGACACCAAATTCCATTCCTCGTTTGTCATTTTAGATGAATATTTCCCAGCCCTGGGCAACGGTGCTTCTAGTAAGTTCTTCACTAGTGCAGGGTTGGAATTAGGGGTTATATTGTCTAAGGTATTACCTACAGAGAAAGTGTCTGCTTGTTTATCTTTGGATAGCTTGGGTTCAGAGAGGCTGGATGCATTAGACCCATCTTCCACAACAAGGTCCAAAGCAAGGGTCAGGTTTACTGCACGCACAGCGTTTTCCAGCTTGGTTTCCTCCTCTTCCAGTTCATCACTGTAACCATTTGGAAGCTGCCCACTTCCCACCATGTCTATCTCAGATGTGTTCTCTGGCTGGTACCCAGAATGAAGTGCACTTGTCCTGTCAGCAGCTGAGAGGTTTTTATTTCTTACATGATTTAGAAGGGCATTCATCTGCTGCACAGAGTAAAACTTAACGGCCAGCGAGTTTCTCTTTTTCCTTTTCCTGTTAATATCAGAATTTCCTCCTCCTGGGCTTTCCTCTTCAGGCTTTTCTGAAGAAAATTTACTCTCTTTTCCATTAGTTGGAAGCTCTTCTGCAACATTCGTTTGGCTTTCCCCATTGCTCAGCAGGTGTTCACCTGCAGAGGAGTTACTGTGATCTAGTTCATGATTCCTTTGGCTTCTATTCTCAAATACCAGCTCAGCCTTTCCATCACTTGCCCTAGCTAAAAATAAGTCCTCTTCTGCTGTGACTGAAGCATGACTTGACTGGAATGTTTCAGCCTCGACTCGGGGAAGAGGAGTGATAGGAGTTTCTAAGAACTCAGAGGTGTTTGTGGACTCACTACTATTTATAGCTGTCAGATCCAAGCCAGCTGCCACCTCAGAACCAGAAGCATCAGTGCCTCCATACTGTTCCCAGGCCAGTGCTGTAAGGTTCTCTGTTTCTTCATTGCCTGTTGACTTCCTTGAGCTTCGGATGGAGTAAAAAGAAGCCAGGTAATCCTGATAATCCAAATCCTCCTTATCTCCTTCTTCTTGCACATCTTCTTCAGCTGAGAAGGTAGCAGCCTTTTTGTCAGTCTTGGTGTAAGTGAAATCCACGACATCAAATGAGTAATCTTCCTCATAGTCACATTTGGCATCTCTGAATCTCAGCCTCATGCCGTAACTCATCTCTGGGCTACCCCAGGATGCTAAAAGCCAAGTGCCTGAAATTGAAATTTGAACAGCTTTTGAATGCAGAAAGGATGATCTATGAAAGAATGAAGTCGTTTGAATTTCTAATTGGGACACAAAACATTTAGCTGTCAATGTGAAGTGTCTTAAATTAACCTAAAGGTTTCAATAATTCCTCCAAAACCTAGTCAGAAAATAAGTTCTCCATTTGAAACTAGGATCTGCAGAGAACAAAATATAATGTTTGCCTCAACAGCATCAAGTCATGTTCTCTGCTTGTTACAGCTTGCTTTTGGAACTAGCAGGAATTACACAACAGACAGAACTATCAGATTGAGAAGACCCTAGGCTTTTTTTTTTATATTAAAAAGGTCACATACAATTTTTCTGTATCTATCAGTGACTTGCACAACTTTCCTGATTTCTAACAGCAGCAAGTTTACCAAAGGAAACACACCCCAGATGGAAAGAACAGATCACACACTCAAATCAAGCAAAAGTACAACTTTGGTTTTGGTTTCCATAAATTCTGATGGAGTTTTAATGATTCCTTAGTCTTGAACAATAAAAAACACTCTAACACACAATAACAGCTTTAGCTTATAATAAGGTCTTGATGGTGCATGATTACCAAAAACAAGCTTGGAGGACCTAAAGAGTTTGTTATTTAATTAGATAAAAGCTTCAAAAACCAATTTGGTATTTTAAATAAGATAAGGATTTCTTATGGGAAACCTTGTGGGATTTTAGAATGATCACTAAACACTCCCAGTGCTCAGTGAGGAAGAATCTCTGTCCTTTTGCAAGGAACTCCATAAGGGTGGAGTTGTAGCATCACATTTTCAAGACCTGGTAGACACTGAGATGCATACCCATGGACTAGAGATCCAATTCAGTCAGGTAGACTATTGCTGCTGAATGACCAAAAAGCCTAAGGTGAGGTGTAGCCACTTTATCCAATACTGAGTAGCAGAATTTGGCAGTTTGGGCCCATTTTAGCTAACCCAGCATAGACAAATATGTGGCTAGAGGTGGGAATCCCAGTGCAGTACTGTATTGTTTCCAAGGATGGTATTGGAATTGCCTTCAAATGATTATTGATAACCCCAATACTAATTGTGAAGTGAAAAAAAACAACCTCAACAACAGGAAACCCACAACAAAAAGCCCCTCAGCATCGCATAGAATCATGCCAGTGCTGTCTGTGTAGCCAACAAAACTTCACACACATTAATTGCACTGAGGAGTGAGTCAACATTTTCCAGCACTGTGCTTATCTAAACACCTTTCTTTCCTATTTCAGTAAGTCCTTACATACTAGGGGTTAAAAAGGGTCTTAGAAGAGCTGTCAAACACTAGAGTTTTACCACGTACCAACGTTGTCCATTTCCACTGTGACAGATTCTCCACTCATTGGGAAAAGGTTCAAGACATCTTCATATTTGCCTTGGTACAGAAAAGAGTGCCCAGAAAGGCGAACGGAGACAATCTCATCATGAGTGCCAACACTGGAAAAGTGCCACTGAACCACGTTATCTTGGCAAAATCCAAGGATTTCACTGCTGTCAGACACGTAGCCATTTATTGCTAAAAGGAAAGCACAATGAAAGGGGTCTCAATCTTTTCAGAGGAAGACTTTTTAAAACCTCCTGTTCTTTGTCAGTCCACTGAACTGGACTCGCATTTGTACCTAGAGACAGGAACAAGATTGAAACTACAGTAGCCTTGATGGAGATTCCAGCTCTGGAAATAGTATCTCTAAGGCAGCAGAGTGGTGCATCAAAGTGAAAGAACCCTTGCCTTTGCCTCAGGGTCCAGAGCCAGCCTGGGCCCTAAAATATTCCATATTTCTTTCCAGTGCCACCTGCCATGGTTAGAAGTTCACTGCCTCTCCAGAGAATTCCCTGATTGCACTACATCTGAGAACAAGCAATCACTGGATGGCCAAGTTCACATGAGTTTCCATAATATTCAGCTTGATATCCAACTCACTGTGCATTACGTTTGAGTTATAGAATTTGGGATCATCCTTTTTAACACTGGAAGGGTTGCTGCAGTAGTCCTTGATGTTATCTTCTATGTACCAGCTCTTATTTTCATCAAACACAGCAAACATTGCCTGCTGCTCCCCATCTGCCTTTTTCTGAAAGAGAATCAACACAGCAGTGACATTTTTTGGGGGAGAAGACACATTTTAAGGACTCAATCCTATTACCTTTGTTACTACGTGAGCAATATAAGCTTCACCAGAGTTGTGGTGTGATCCAAGTGCTAAGGGAAAGGGAGTAGGGGAGTCAAGACTTCAAATGACAAGCCTACTACTGCAACCAGCCTGTGGTGGAGCACTGAGCAAGCCACTAGCACTGCTGATATGCAACCAGTATACAACTGGGCTCTCTGTAAGAGGACTAGACTCCTGGTTTGACTTCAGCACAAGCTTTTGACATTTTTTTCTCCTAAGTGATGCTCAGTTCTTTGCCAAGCAAGGTATCAATGGATGGTGAAGAGAAGCACACTCCTAGAACTCTCACATGCTGTTTGGGTTGCCCTGGATTCAGTGATGCCTGGGACTTTCAGATGCTGTTGGGTTATATCTGTTACAGAAAGGGACCAGCTCAGACATGAATGTTTTTAGAGCATGAAGGTATAATGATAGCAAAGTTTACTATCAGATCTAAAAATAGACTTTCAAGTCAGGCTGACTTTTTGTTGAAATGCTGCTCTTGCTAAGAAAATCAGAATATCACTCTTCTATTGCTGTGGACAGAGGACTCTTCAGGTCATTCCTTCAGGAGCCTATTGGTTTAATGGCTCTCTACATGACAGTTCTTTAAGAACAAAACCAAATTCACTGTAGATCAAATCATATTATTTGAGCAAAATCTGTCTTTAAGAGGTTACCAAACGTGTTACCTGCACACCCTTCTGGGTCAATGCTTCACTTTTACAAATCAGAAGTGGGCCAATCAGTCCAGAGGCTATATCTCTCTCAACATCCACAGCACTGTGGTACAGCCTGGTAATACACTGTGCATCCTTTGCAGTGGGTTGGTCTGTTTTAGCAATTTTCCATTCATAAGTGTATGTGTTCCCTGGTTCAATTCCTTTACTCTGGGTGCCATTGCCTAAGGAAAAATAAAGAAAGGGAAGAGCAGTGATACAAATTTAGAGCCAGGTTGTCATATGGCTGCACCTTTTAATAAAATTGGTGCAATTTTGCCACTTCAAGCTTCCTCTGAGATCACCAAGGCTCTGCAGGAACTGTTGTCTCTCTCTAGAGTCACAAATGAGAACTAAAAACACCAAAAAAGGGTATTTCTCTATGCCTTAAAGATAAGACCTTGGTTTCTCTATAAGGCAACACAACAGGTCAGCAGAGGAAGAGCACAGAATTGAGGTGTTGCAGTCTTGCACATTCCTAGCCACATCATCTCCTTCAAAGCAAAGAAACCCTCCACAACAGTTGATGGTATCCAAAATGCCATTCACAGATTCCTTACTTGTGGGATCCAAAGGATAATCAGCTCCTTCTGCTTCCTTTGAAAGTGTCACTCCATGGAAGTAAATGCTGTAGGGTCGGCTGGCCTTGTTTTTGAACACAATCTATATTGATATGCAAATGACACACACACAAAACAATTAGTGTTCAGCAAATCCTTGTCTGAGTTTCAACTACAGCAGAATTTGCCTGGTTGCAGCCTGAGAAGTGCTGGAAAGTCAAAGGGATGTTTTAAACATTGTCTGATAATATAAATTCAGTCTAAATGCTCCTGGTACCCTGCTGCTGGGTTTTGTAGAGCCCACTGAAGTAAATTCAGCTTTTTAAATCTGGTCTTTGGAAAAATCTAAAAAGAACTCCTGTTATTCCAGTTTCTAGGCACATAGTCCCTTGGGGAAGATGAAGTTATTGGCTGAAGTTCCCAAGAACCTTCAGTATTGGAAAAAACAAGTTTAAACAGATTTTAAAACAAATCTTGTCCCAGATTTCAAGACCCAAAGGGGTTATTGGAGGAAATGGCAAAGCATCTTGCCTATTCTTGGGCCAGAAAAAAAGAAGGAATGTGCCCAACTCAAATTCACAGTCAGAAAGTCACAGTGGCAATTAAAGGTCATGAAACTTTGTGATGCATCATTAAGTGACAACAGAAAGACAAGTGGATGTGACAGCAGCACAAGCTTGTAATGCAAATGTGTTGTAGTTTCATTTCATAAATCCATGAAAGAGCTTTTAACTATTTAAGACAATGTTACTCAGTTTTCAAAGCCAGAAAAAAACCAAAACAGCATCAGGAATGAGCAGCTCATGAACTTTGGCCTTACATCTAAATCCTCCCAGAAGTCCACCTGGGTCCAGCTTTTTTCCATTTTGCACACATGTCAACATATAAATACCTTTCAGAGAGTGCAAATTAAGTGTGCTTATGTTGTAAAATAAGTATAACCATGGCAGCTGTAGAGGGAATGCTGAAAAACTTAAGCTAAGTGCTGTCACTTGTCATCATACCTTTTACTAGGGCCAATATTTACAACATTGTATTTTTTCATAAAAAAATACCCAAATTAAACTAGTTCTTTTGTATCTCTACCCAGCAGAAAAAATAATCTCTGAATTTATGTAACTTACTTTGACTTTGTCATTGAGTTGAGCTCTGATAATAGGACCCAAGATCCCAGTTTCCTTGGGACGAGGATTTTCCAGACGTTTAGTGAAGGTGGCATCAGTGTATTGCCTAAAAACAGCCTTTTTATACTTTTTACCTATGAGATTTGAGAAGTTGTCCAAGTGCTGTGCTTTGTAGTGTCTTAAAAAGAAGGGAAAAGACATGATCAATGAAACTTGGAATAGTGATGTCTATTAGAATACAAAATCAGCACTCAGGCTGATCCAAAGTCTGACCTAAATTAGGTAAGAAGCAGCTTGGAACATTATTTATGTTTTAGTAACACATATGACTAATTAGTATCAGAGTTTACATTTATCAGGGTATATATGCAAGAACTTTTTCACTGTAAAGTTGCAAAGATGCCCAGAGAAGCTGAGGAGTCCCCATCCTTGGGGGACAACAAAAACTCAGCTGGCTAAGGTCCTGTGCAATGAATCCCCTTTCACACTGGACCCCCAGAGGTCCTCTCCAACCTGAGTTATTCCATTATTGCACTTGAACATTCCATATTATGTTGACAAAGTATTATTTTACCTATCAAGGCTGTCTGGAATATTTGGGGCATAATCCCAAGTAACTTCTTCTGCAGCAATGAAATACTCCCAGTTTTTGACCATGAGACGTTCTTTAAAGGAGAGACGATTCTTCTTCACCTCCTTGTCCCCACAGTCTCTCACAGTGAGGTAACCATGCATTCCAGCTAATTGAGAAGAAATGGAACCATCATGATTGTCCATTTAATGAGCCCTCACTACTTCAGATGCATTTCTCATTCCTTTAAGGCTGCCAGCAAGCATTTGTTCATGTTTACCATCTTTTCAGGCTTGAAAAGGCAGCATCCATGTAGACTCCAGAGAGGCTGGGATCTTTCCAAGCAGCCCATATTCATCAAATGAAATACAGCTCCTCTCTCAACTCACTCTCTTTGAAAATACCACCTGAACAGATGGAAAGCTATTATTTTTCCTGCCTTTTTGTTTTGTTTTTCAAAACAGGTCTTCCAGCTCTTGTAAGAGAGCCATTCCTCATTCTTTCAAATTCTGACCGCTGCTGAGAGAGTGAGATACTTTCAAATGATAAACAGTGAATATTTTCATCAGATTGTGTGACACTGAGCTGCAAGTGCTCAGTTTCTGAGGCCACAGGGGGTTCCTTACTCATTTAATAATGCTGTTTATCTGAGCAGCTCACAGACTAAGACACTGGAGCACTCATTCACTGTTGCTCTGTACCACTGCAGAACAGCAGAAGCCATTTGGGACATCAAGAAGAGAGACAACTCTACAGTTGCCTAAGAAATAGATGTTTCCTTGCCTTGGTGGTGCTTTTGGACAAGAGAAGATATCAGCCACCTTCCTTCCTCACTCACTGTCATGTTCACAGTGGTTGATGCTCCTCCCACCAGGTTCACAGTAGAAATTCGGTGATGTCTTTGCTCCATGGACTGGCCATTGACATGAATGGAAAAAATCTCTGGCTTGGAACTCATTCCTATGAAATGCCAGCTGATGTTGTCATAGGCACAGGCCTCTAAATCTGAGAGAAAGGTGAGAGTAGGGTTCAGAACACAGGCAAATCGTGCAAGTTCCCTAAGCACACCCTCAGGTGGTTCTTCATTAAACATTTTTTAAACATTAAAAAAAACCCTCTGGCTCCTGGGATCAGTTTTTGCAACAAGAAGAAGTTTCAAAAGCTTTTAAATGGAACAGATATCAAAATCCTGGAAGTCAGGGGAAGATAGGTATTTAAAACATACATACAAGTAACAGCTTGACTTACAGAGAGCTGTGGAAAAAATCAGTAGCTTCCTTTGGGAAGCTGATTTGTCCTTATTTGGGGAAAAAAGGAAAGAAAAAGGCAAGGATCCAAGCTAAACAAAGAGGTTGTATCTAGTGACTGTAACTACCCTATCCAATACTTGTTTAAAACCCACCACCCACCTAAGACAGTCTTTTGTACTTCCAAAATAGACTGGACAGAGATATGAAAAAAAAAAAGCAAAGGTAAAATTCAGTCTTCATCAGTGTTAATTTCATTTCACATAAGCTTGAAGAGTACCTGGCAATGTTCCATCAGTATAGCCATTAATTGTGTATTTGAGTGATGCTGATCTTTGCCAACTCTTGTTTTCATCAAACACACCAAACAGCAGCACATACTCCTTGTCAAAAAGTTTCTGTGACCCATCCTCATTTAGGCTTCCTACAAAGAAGAAACAAAAGAACTTAATTTGAAGCAGAAATACAGCAGTTTTCACATCAATGTAGTGGCATTAATGTGTATTTAATGAGCTTGCTTCACCTTTTAGCATGTACTGGCTAAACCTGACCAAGACAAGGCCTTTAAGAATGTTCATAAAATGATTTTATTTCTGAAAGTACTTTTGGGTTGGGTAACCACAAAATCAGAAATCTGTAATATGCTAGAAGATTGAAGAGTGTGCAGTAAATTGTCTCAGACAATTCTGCCAAGGCATTGTAGGCATTGTCTTCATGAATGGGAACAACCAAACAGCCTTCTGCTCACAGTCAGACTCTGGCCTCTCTTTTGAGACTGGGAGGCAAGAAGAATGATGGCAGAGCTGTCTGCAGTGTGAACATCTCCTCAAGCACCACACTGAGGTCATCAGCTCCTTTAAAAAGCATAAAATGGACCACTTGGCAAACAACCTCTATATACAAAAGATTTTGACAAATAACTGCTGAATGAGGCTGGTTATAAGCAACCACCTCTGAGCTGAGTTTGTGATTTCTGTCAACAAGTAGAATTCATTCTGGACATGCCACACAACTGGTGTGATTTTACTGATCCTTTCTGTAGATTGCTCACATCAGAAAACTTCCATTTGCTACTTCCAATCTATAATCCAGGATTAAAATAGATGTCTCTCTAGACTGCAGGAACTAAAAATTTGGGAGCTTGCTGATTATTCTACTTAGGCAGAAACTTTAGCAGTGGAAGCAGTTATCTTTAATGTAATCCTTTTAATTTGTGAGAGGCTACAAAGTCCTGTTTTCCCACGTAAAAGAAGTCTCAGATCAAGAGGAATTTTTCAGCTTGTCACACAAAACCCATTCACTTGAACTCAAAAGTCCACTTTTTATAACCTTCCCAGGTTATACCATCTCTGCTGCTCTTAAAGTGTCAAACTGTGGTGGGTTGACCCCAGGCAGCAGCCAAGCACCCACACAGCCACTTCAATGCTTCCCTGCCCTCAGCAGGACAGGGGAAAGAACAGAAGTGGAAAAAAACTGTGGGTCAAGTAAAGAGGGTTCAACAAGTGAAGGAACAAGGAGAAAAAAAACCAAGCAACACAAAGGAAATCACTCATCACCTCCCACAAGCAGACTGCTGGCCAAGAAACCCTGCTCAGAAATCTGAAGAATGTGATTAGTTACCTGTTTGTCTTTCTTCTAGATAGGAACACATGCTCAAAATTGTATTGAAGGTAGTGGTCAAACCAATCCATCTCTAATTCCTATCCAACTCAAGCCCACAATGTATGCATGAATTTGAGAGACTTGAGAAGGAAGGAAAGCAAGTCATTCCAAAGCATTTGTCCAGATTAACTCCACCAGTATGTCATAAAATGCACACACATGAACACAGAGAAAGAAAATCCCAGAAAAGTAGGAAAATAGCAAGTCCTAGGTAATATTAAAAGCACTAATTCTCAAAAAAACTTCAGAAGGAACATAATTAATACTAATGCCACTGCTCTGAGGTGTTATGAGTAGGTGTGTTCTGCAATTAAATGGACACCTATCAGTGAGAAGAGTGCCTCTGTACAACCCACACTGGAGCAGCTGTTTACTTTCAGGAAAGCTTCAAGGTCCAAGTCCAGTCTACACAAAGTACTTAAACTGTAGGGACACAGGATCAAGCTAAACTCAGAGCTTTCACTAAAAGAAAGATCTAGAACTTGGAAAAATGAAGGATTTAAGGGACCAGCCAGGAGTCTAAGCAGCTTACCCAGTGGTATGCTGTCTCAAACTTCCCCTCAAATCACTGGTATGCAGCTAGTTATTTACAAGTGGTACCAGTTTGTATTAGTGGAGATTCAAACTGCTAAAATCTCAAGTCCCTGATCCCATGCAAAGCAATTTTTAAAGACTTATAATCTGTTCAAATTTGGGCATCTTTTTAAGTGGCTATCCAAAGACACACTGCTCTGCAATTTCAAGCTCTTCTTACAGGGGAGAGTGCTACAACCTCCTGATCTGATATCCTTTAAAATGTAGAGGCAAAGCAACTGGTTCCTGCCTTATTCTCTGGAATGGCTGAACTGTTTTGAACAAAGCTTTAAATAAATATTTATTCTGAGACAGGTAAATTGAGGTCATATATTTAGCAGTTAAGCAAATGAAAAGAGAACCAGTTCAGACAAATATATCTATTAATAGCACTCTGTCCAGCCTATAATTGCCCACCCCCAGCCTACTAGCTGGGGAGGTCTGAGCAGGAAGAAGAGAAAGCCTTGACACAGTGCAAGCACAGTTCAGTGGCAGCTAAAACATGGGTGTATGAGCAACACTCTGCTGGATCTGCATGAAAGCTGCCATTTAAAAACTTGAACATGTAAAAGAAAGATGGTAAAAACCATTTACTTTACACTGCATGTAAAGATGGGAAAAGGAAATATATCTTTCCTCATGATCATACAACCTTAACTTTCTTAAGAAAGGAAACTATATTACCTTATAGTAGTCTTAAAGCATTTCATTACCTTTCTTACAGATAAGCAGTGCTCCAATCAGACCAGAGTTAAAATCCATTGCCATATTCTCATGGGAATAATATGCATAAGTAAGACAAGGAAGGTCAGCTTCTTTTGGACCAGCTTCTTCTGTTATATCCCACACATAGGTGTAGATCTTGCCTGGAAGTACAGCATCATCTTGCTTTTCTACAGAGGATGTTCTGTCATCATACAGGGAACCTGCCAAGAAGAGTCAGTAGGGTGGCATGAAGAAAAAGAGCAATTACAGCATGTGGAATATCCTCCTAAAATCAACTCCAAAAGCTTGGTTTGTTTCTTGCATATGTGATACTTCAGCTTCAAAGAGATAACTCATGATGCCACTCACACTGCAGACAGTAGCTATTCCACCATCCTGTTTCTTACAGATTAAAGGTTTCCTAGGACTGTCCTCACTACCAAAAAGTGGGGCTCTTCATCAGCTTGGCTGGGGTTAGGGTGGCATGAAGCTGCAGGCTCTGCTCACTGATACTCTGTGGAGGAATCCTGCTCACTTTGTCAGCTCTCTGTGTCTCATGAAGACATTATCCAGGCTACTATTGCCTTGCTGCCTCAGACCTTTCATGCACTGCATACCCAGATGGAAGTTATGGCTCTTATCTACATCTACCACATCCAACCAATCTCCAATATGGTGAAGAGGAGCCAGAGAATCAAAATCCTAAGTGCCAAAGGTAGTCAATACCATCAGTGAGGTAGTCAAACTGAACTGCCTATCACTTCCAGTCACACCTCCTGTTCTACTCCATCAGATGGGGTTCCAAACCTCTTTTTGTATCAACACAATAAACAAAGCCTTTCTGTAAGCTGCAGGTCAGAGCTCTGGCTCAGCACCCAGGGCAGGGCAATCCAAGAAGCATGGGCAATCAGATTCACTCTGTTATAGTGCACACATTTAATCACTGATTTGCTCAGAGTTTATGATCTATTTTTGCTAGTCTCATGAGGGTTCCAGCAGCAAAACAGCACAAAGCTGGGCATGAAAAGCTAAGTATGAACAACATGAGCACCACTGTCAACTGCAATTACCAATAATGCCATGATGTATGTTAGTACAAGGGATTGTAAAAAGTTTTAAGACCTGTATCTAAGAGTTTTAATGTCCTGAAATAGAATATTTTACAATTATACAGGGGTTGGCCCAGGTGACCTTCAGAGGTGCCTTCTAACCTCAACCCTTCTGTGATTCTGTGAAACAGTATGAGCACACTCTGCATGTCAGATGACACAAGTATTTCATTGATGAAGAAGAAAAGAGTTAATGGGTGTAAAGTTTTAATCCAGGATCAACAGATGTTTGTGTTACATATCTCCTCAAACATTGGTTTAGGCCCCTCTTAATACTTCATGCAGTAGTCTAGAAGTAAATGAACAAAACTTGGCACTTTTATACTATTTACCTTCTGAAATTTTGTCATAAACTATGCCTTGAGGGTGAATGCTGACTGGCTTGTCTGCCATGTTCTTCAGGTGAACTACTAAAGTATCTCCCACTTCAGCACGCAAAGTTGGTCCCAGAAGTCCTGTAGTTGTTCAGGATGAAGAAAGAGGAAAGTGTGAGCAAAACATTGAGTGAAACAAAGACTTCTCTCCCCACGTTAACATGAGCTTCAAAGTAGAAGTTGCAAAATTAATACAGGCAGAAAATATAATACCACTGCAATGAAAGTTTACCCATAAAAAGGCATGTGGAGATTTCAAACCTGCAGCTCAGTCAGGAATATTATAAATCATATATCTGGCAACTAGCACTTAAAAAAAATATCACAGGAAAATGGGGGGTGGGGAGGAAGTTATTTCCAGACACAGAAAATTTATCAAAAGGTTAATTTTGAGGTTCACTGAGAATTTCTAGGAAACCCTCACATACAATTTAATTAAAAATTTTTAGGAAGCCAGACATTTTATAGTTTAAGAGTGTAGAGAAAGGCATTCAGCACATTTCTTGGAATGGCACTCTCAGAAGACAAAGATCTTTCAATCCCAAAATGTTATCTGAAGAAATAATCAGTTCCATGTTTAAGTGGAACATCCATTTAAAGTAGTAACAGAAGCAAAGGCAAGGGAACAACTTTTGCACCCAACCTCACTGTTTTTCTTTTGCTTTTCCACTGATCTATCAGAAATATATCTACCCTCAGGCCTTAAGCTCCTTCCATGTGAATTTACAGTGTCACCACTGTCACTGTGCTGTACAACTCTAAATGTGTATGGGAAGGCTCAACAGACACTGAAAACACAGGGAACAACTTGGTACCGTGCAATTAATTTGCAGATAGCACTGAGCTCATCTCTGAAAATCCAATTTCTCTGTGGCCCTTGAAAGCCTAGTGTCCTGCAGAGACCTCATCCCTGTGGCTATCTGGTTTATGTGCAAAAAATATGGAGAAAAGAAATAAATATGAGCTTGCTTAGCTTGTTACTAGCTTTATAACAGGCAACAAAAAGACTCAGAACATTTCCTTCTTCTTTACCTGCATCTGGTTTATGTGCAAAAAAATGGGGAAAAAAAAGAAATTGAGCTTGTTTAGCTTGTTACTAGCTTTATAACAGGCAACAAAAAGACTCAGAACATTTCCTTCTTCTTTACCTGTAAATATATTTGCTGGCTTTTCTCTTTTAAAATCCACTTCATATTCTCTGTAAGAAATTTTCTTAAACACAGGATCTGAATGTTCTAATCTGAAACCAAAAGACAAAAAAAAAACCAAAGGTCAGTCTCCAAAAGAGGCCATTGCTGTTTCACAGATATCTCAGAAAATTAATCCTGGAACACATTTAATCACTTCCACATTCTGCTGAAGGCATGGCACACAGTCCAACTCCTTGCAGGGTTCTCCCCTTTCCTTCTGTTGAATCTATGATGTTCCTGAGCTAGCCCATTTCATACTAGACAGTCAATTAGAGTACCTACTGCAGTTTAATCCTGATTTTCCTGGTGATTTCTATAGGTCCTTTTGATTCTATGATGAAAATGTCTTTTTACATTTAGACACAGAGGAAGGTGTCTTGACCATGCTTAATCTAGAAAGCATCTGAGAAAACAGAGTGGAAGAAGCCTGAATGTCCTTTTGCTTGGATCCATGCTTGAACTTCAAGACTCACCCCAAGGATTCTTCCAACAGCATTAACAGCAAGCTCCTGTAGCAACAATGACCTTGGTGGCAAGCAGGAAACTGTTCCCTGACAACAACTAAAGATTTCACAGCAAGTCAGAAAATTGCTTTCTGGGAAAGACCACAAGTGTCCTTAGGCTTGTTATGTAAATGCATCAGGCACCCAGTGGGTCACACTGTTTTCTCAGAAAACCATTAGGCAAGGCAAAGAAAACCATCACATGGGTTTCCAAACACTTCTGGAATGGAAATAATGATGAGAAGAGGGCTGGAGGGAGAATAACCTTTAGTTTGACATTTATTGGTTGATTTTTATACAGTATGTATGATGACTGGATGCAAGAGTAATTCCATTTGGCTTTTTTGCAGTGCCCTTTCAGGCACAGATGATAGTGGGGAGCTGATGGGCTGCTCAAGCACTGAGAGATTGGGCAGAGACAATGCAGTGAGCTTGGTTGATTTTATACAGTATGTATGATGCAAGAGTAATTCCATTTGGCTTTTCTGCAGTGCCCTTTCAGGCACATATGATAGTGGGGAGCTGATGGGCTGCTCAAGCACTGAGAGATTGGGCAGAGACAATGCAGTGAGCTTGCTTCAGTGACATCCTGGGTCCATAAGGGGGAGATCTCTTTTTGCAGAGATCTTTTGTAAATCTTTCTGTAACCCTCTCACAACAGAAGAGTCAGGCAGGAGCAGCTCATGTTTCAAGTCACTGATAAAATGTTATTTCCCTCTCTTCAAGAAGGACCCAATCCATAACCTTCATTGACAAGTGCTGCCCTACTACAGCAATGTTCAATAGAATATGCACAGAAGACTGTGGGGAGGAAGAGAAAATTTATCAACACCAATAGCATAGCTAGAAGGAACAAAATATGCAGCTTACTAACACCTCAGAAATCTCAGACTATGAAAGCAGGTCTAGTTTTATAACTCCTGGGGACAGCAGCAGCAACACTGCAGGTACAGATGTTCTCACTGTGCTCTGAAGTGTCTTGATAAACATCATTTGTACATGGTAACAAATCTCTGAAGATAAGACAACTGATTCTCAGAGAAGTTGAGTGTCCTTTTCTAGCTTGCATGATTGGAGAACTAAGAAAACAGTTTGAGAAACCCTTTTTTTTTTTTTTCAGCCTTTCTTCAGTTACTTAGAACCAAAACCAAAGTATCAGATTCTTACACTGTATTTAGACACACCCAAATGCCTTTGGGATCCAAGTCATTCACTCCAAGTCATTCCTTAGGGAATATCCTTGTGGAGGGTTGGTTTTTTTTTTGAGTTAAATTTCTGTAAGCTCTACAAAGTTCATCAGAGCCCTTCAGGATGTGACTTGCTCTACACACTTATGTTAGATCTCTCCAGAGACACTGTGTATGAAAAGCTCCTAGGTAATCACAGTATTTCAGCTGAGGTTTGAGGCATTCTTGTGGGTTCCTACTGCATGAAAACAGTCTATCCACAATGTGACATTTAACAAAACAGCATTAAACTGATGCTTATACTGATGTAGCCAGTGCAGATGAATGAAGCTCTAACTACTAAATTCACATGTCCAGGTCAATACTTAATCATTAAATGGCATTTGGCTTCATATTCCTACATTTAAATCCCCTTTTCTTCTGCCCTGCCAGTTTGACATTATGCTTATACCACTCATGTTAAACTTCCAAAGGGTGTTCTAGAAATCATAGAAAGCTTGTTTTCATTAAGTCTTGGAAAAAGAATAGAAAGTCAAAATCTGAACAGGAAATGTCTTCTCCATAACATCCTGAAAAGCAATACATACTTAAAGTCACAAACTAAGCAAGAGAAAACAAGCCATCCACCAATATTAAAAAGAAATGAAGTCAGTAGTACCTAAATTCACCCTTCAGTGTAGGAGAACAAGTAATTTGTACCATTTCATGCCACTTCCTGAAGAAATAAAAGCTGTGTATGGTGACTGTGGTGAACACAGTCTAAGAATGAAGCCTAATTTAAACAGAAGTGTAAATTACATCTAAATTTTGTCATCTGTAGCATTGCACTTGCCCCACCTATAATCCTGAGGATAAGAGTAGTAACACAAATAAGGGATTTTATATGCTTGATTTGTGTATGCATGCAGGCTGGCCATTCTGCAATGCTATCTGGAAAGAAGAAATTCAATTAGTATTTTCACTTAATGAAGTACAGCAATGCTTGATTACAATGCTACAACCTTTACTTGGCAGAACTCAAGGTGGACTTTTCACAAAGACTACTGAGCAACTCAGAAACAACACAGCTAGATCCAAAGTCCATCAGGCTCTGACTGAAGTGAAAGTGATGGTATTTAAATTGAAACATGTTCATTCCTTCAGCAAATTCTAAAGTCTGAAAGTTTTCAAAATCTTACCCCACTATGCTTTAACTGAACATTGCTCCAAAACCATCTATCCAATATAATTACATTAAGAAAACCCACCAAACCATGAACTGCAACCCATGCAGAGGATGATAAAAGCAAGCCCTGCAACATATTTACAAAAATGTTCTGAAAACATAAAAATTATTCTAACCACTAATGAAGTAAATAAAAAGGAGCTTTTAATACTTCACTGGCTCCGGTTCAGATCATGCATTTTAAAGACACACAAGTTCCTCTGAAGCCAAGAGATCAGGCTATAAAGCCCTCCTGGGCTCTAAAATTCCACAGGAGGTAGGAGATGCAATCCACTTACAGCCACAAGAGAGGATTTTTTTTCATCCTTATTCTGGACTTTGTTACCTGGACTTTTCTTCAGACTCCGGTTTGTAGGTCCAGCTAGTGATCTGAGCAGCTATATAATGCTCCCTGACCTTCACAGCTCCCACCACATATTTTTCTGAGTCTGGCCACCATGAACCAAGCAAAAGCAAGAGAAAAAGGTGCATGCAGTGCAGTGTCATGGTACAGATGCCTGTTGATGCTGCTCTGGAAGATAAAGGCAGAATTTCTGGCAGAATGCGCTGCTTTTATTGCTGTTGCTGCTTTTAACTTCCCCTCAGAAATGAAATAATTGTGATGCAAGAGGGTAACAAGCATTTGCTATGCTCAGGTCATTGCTCTTCACCTCCTCCTCCCTCCCTCGCTGACAGGGATCCAATAGAGATAAAAAAACAAAACCCAAACCTGTTCAAACTACCTTCCCCCCCCCCTCCTCCACCCTGTCTGCAGTGAGAGAAGCACCAGGCAGCAGCAGCTTCAGCCCCACAACAGCCTCTGCTTGGGTCCCACTGAAGCAGCAGGATATAGGAAGCAGAAAACAATTACTTAGATTACTTACAATTCCAGGATATTTGACTTACATGGTTAGGAGGAAGGGGGGGGGCATATTTTCTGTCTTCCCAGAAAACAGAAAGCCAGCATGCAGCTGGCACGGGTGGAAACTTCCCAGTTTGATGCTACATCTAAGAAATCTTTCACCAGTTAGAAAGCAAACTGATGAAGGATTGGGTGTGGGGACTAGAAGAGCCAAGCTGAGTTCAAATCTAGTACATATATTGCATATTAACAATAGTAAGTCAGCAACTTTTCCAAATGTTGCCAGGTTCAGTGTGTTTGCTACTACACTCTCAACTATCTCAGGTAATGGATTGCCAATGTCAACTAGAGCACAAAAAGTGTTTCCCTGCTTTTACCAGTGTTGAGAAGTGTGTCAAAACAACAATAAAATTGTTGAGTGTGTTTCCTGTACACTGGGATCACTGGAAAAAGAAAAATCCCTATAATTTTTTTTTCCATAGATTACAACTACTTTTTCAATAATGTTTTGCTCAAGTTATCATGAAATAATTACCTAAAACCCCAAATCAAAATAATTCTACTCCAGATCCAGATAAAAATAAGGACATTTCCTCAGAGTACTTCAAAAGAAAACCTGATCAGTTCTAGGGTTAATATATTGTGCAACAACAGAATGGTCTAATTGGCAGCTTGGTTAATTCTATCCAAAATGTACAGTACCACATGGACTTAGAAGTGATAGGGAAGATGGTTGGTAAAAAACTGATGAACACCAATAGCTGAATGGTTCCTACCAAACTCCAGAATATTTTGGTGTTTAAACCTGAAAATAATAGTGATTACTTGAACAGCATCATGGATGAATTTCAATGCAGCAAACTAAATAACTGAAATTATTTCCTGGGGCATCTGCATGGAGTTAATCACTTGTTCCCATGAGCCATTTTGACACAGTGTATGGACAAGATTCAAAACTCAAAATCCAGCAACAGTTAAACTGGACCAGAATGCATGCACTGGTATTGAAGAGAAAAAATGTTAAACGTGGTCCAACAGTTAGTAATCAATTATTGTTTTGGTTAAAGAACTCACCGTAACCCTAGGTAAAAACACTTCAGTAATTGTTAATTATAAAATCTGGCTCATTTGTAATCCAGTCCTAATCTCATCTCTGGCTCAGAACCTATTTCAATGCTGGTGCTTAATAGTTTTATTTGCATGAAAATGGCTATAATTTGGATTTAATGAAACAAATCTTTGGACAGATGGACAATTCCTTCCTTCAATCCAGAACTGATGAGAAGTAACTGGTGCTGAAGTCCCTGGCACATTCTATTAAACCTAAACCATCTTCACTTTTAAGTCCTCTTGTCTCTTCTCCAGATCTTCAAAATTCATGATAAAGCAGACAGAAAATACCACATGTCTTTATCAGAACAGAAACCAACTCACCTTTGAGACCAACCTCCAGCCACTGGGCTTTACAGCACTGTTCTTAAAGCTCCTTTTCATACAGGGATTTGAAGACCTCCTTGTATTCTTATCTG